AACCGCCAACCTTACAATCAGAGGACAACCTGCTTCACCACCTGAGCCACAGCCGCTCTAAATAGTAGAGAGCTTGTGTAATTACAATTACAAATGTTCACAACAAAAATCTTTTTTTTCCCTCAAGTCTATAATGTCTACAAGCATTCAGAAACGTTTTTTTATTAGTACATAAAATGACGCTGTTTTCATATATGTAAATATCCTTCAGTAAACAATAAAAAGCAAACAAAAAAAATGCACATAATCTCATGTAAAATTAAGGATATAAAATGTCATTTAATTATGGAAAATTACTGTATTTATAGGAGAGAGCCATTTTGTCTTATTTCTAAGAATTTTTTTTGGCACCCCAGCTGCTTGTTTTATTTACAATTTGTATTTTTATAGTGTAATGTGAGTCAGATCGAATACTACTGAGGAAAACACTAATAAATTACGGCTGACATAACTGTTTTAAGTTTCTATACTGCTGCTTATATCTAAAAAGAACTTTTAATTTGTCTGTCCTCCTTCATGTACATACTGCCAATATGTAATATATCTGGTTCCTGTCATTGTTTTGCCCAAAGACATAAAACTTTAGATTTTCTACAATACTTTTTTTGATACATTACAATAGTTATATTGTGTACTCAGTACTTCATGGTGCTATCATTGCATACTGGCTGCAGAAAAGCCCACATAAGTTTTCATCTGATCTTGACTTTCTTCCCGTGACACCGCTCTGTGTGTTTTACATCTGTTCTGAGCTGCAAGCAAGAACACAGTTTTACTGCACCACCGCACATGTGCAGACCGACGCACCCGAGAACATGCGCATGAACACATATGTTCACACATATGCTATTTAAATCTAACAGCAGTGATGGACGGTATTTATTCCGCAGAGTTGGAGGGAAAATTAGAGAAGTGAAAGAAAGGAAGACAAATAATAAATGAGAAATGAAAGCGTGGCGGGGGGCCAGAGAGTGTGGAGAGAAAAGGAAAGAAAGGGGGAAGAGAAAGAGAAAGAGAGTGAGCTCTTGAATGGCTTATTAACAGTTTCCTGTGGCTATCTTCATTTTTCAAGGGCTCACAGAAACACAGATAGCAGGAAACACAGAGAGATTCTCTTTGCCTGTCTAAAGAAAAAAAAAAAAAAGGAGATTTCTGTTGTTCAGTTTGGACATGCAAATCTTGAACAAGACTGTAAGAAGCAGCAGGAAGTTCTCTGCAGTAATTTTGTATATTTATATTACTCATTGTTTCCATTCACTTCAAGTTTTCCATATCTGTGTCTCTATTTCTTCTATTTTTTTCACGTTGCTCCAGTGGTTTAGAATTTTCTATCTTATTGAAGTCTATGTTGGGCTTTTTTTTTTTCTTTAATCATATTTTTTTTACAGTAACATTTCTATTTAGTCCATTTAGTACAGTGAATGTTGTGGAAGGCAGGTTAGAAATGCAATTTAAAATTGTTTTTACAAAACCCCCCCAAATTATACCAATTGTTTGGGCTTCAAACTGAAAACTGGAGAAAAAAAAAATCACAGGATTTTAAAGCTTTAGATGAAATAATTTTGTGCGATCACCATTGTCGTAAGGACAACTGACCAGAATTAAGTTTTAGATTATGATGTCTAATCAAACTCATGCTATTCTACATTTTGCTAAAAAAAACAGGCCTAACTGCAGGCTTTGGTTACACAGAACAGATACGGAAACAAATTAATGTATTTAGTAAAATATCTGTAATGTGTAGAGCTATGATTCCAGTACTGGTAACACCTTTTGTGCTTTATATTTGTTATAGTTCGGTAATACTGCAGAGACAACATGTTTGAGTTCTCGCTACTTCTAGACAGGATTGTGCTGTTTCCATCGAGGTGCAGGACTTTATATTGCAGTTGAAAATGAGCCCACAGTGAGTGAACATGCAATATAATACAAGCTAAAAAAATGCCACCAAACTGGCTTAAGTTAAGGGTTAAACTGTAAAAGTCTTAGTATGTAATGCACGTCAGTGGTGGACCACAACTGAAAGTATGTCAGAAATGTTTTTCTTTTTTCTTTTTTTAAATTTGTGACCGTTATGCATTTACTTTAAAAAAAAAAATCTCACAGTAGCTGACTCTCATTTCCTCCTTAAGGCTCGAGCTGCTTCCTCACACACAGACACGCATGCACATGCAAATGCACTCACAAGAAGACACACTTGTATATACATACGTAAACACCGGGCGTCACTACCACTGAAGGCAGAAGAGGAACAGATACTGTCTTTTGGTGCCACATAGAGTATCCACGGCAACCGCAACACACACCCTCTTGCAGGTACACACACTCATGGACACACACACCCATGGACACACACACACACACACACACACACACAGACCACAATGGATCTGACAAAAACCACAAGGAGGAACAATGAGGTTTGATGCAAGCTGGGTGAAGAGGCTTGGGAAAACAGACATTCAGAGTATGTTGTGCATCCGCATGTCAGCAACTGAAATGCAGCCACACTGATAAACCCTCCATCCCCTTAGAAAACAACAAAGGTACACCTCCCTGAGGTTGCAGAGAGGTACTTGAACTAACCACGGGGGGCATTCAGGCTGATCAGAGCAGTGTGCAGATCAACAATAGAGTGTGACATTAAGGAAAACCTGAAGCATGGTCTGGTTACAGTTTTTTTTTTTTTTTTGCTTTAACTCATTGAACCCAAAATTCCAGATATAATCAGAGCCAGAAGCTGTAAAAACAGAAAGAATCATCCGATTATCAACTTTCCAATAGCCCTTGAACTACTCATTAAAATAATGTCTCATTTAAACTGTTCGCTCTATCCAGAGTCTGGAAAAAAGTAAAAGTTCTTAAGCTCTTTGGCACAATTGAGATGCCACGAGCAACTCTGCTGCAACCAACAGTCACATGACAAAAGATCAGGGACTTTTTGGCTGACCTGGGCTGAACTGCACTCTCTACATGGAGCAGAGAGGAGAAAAGAACCAAATTAGAAAAGTCATAAAGTAGTAGAGCTACTACTGTTTTTCAGCACTGGTAACACCTGTGGGCACTTAGGAGAAGTGTTGTGCCAGTTATTTCAACTTTTGGATAATAAATAACCAAAGAAATCCAACTTTCGGTTTGGTTTTGGTTTCACTTTTTTTTTTTTAACATACATACATACACATATATATCTGAGTCCTCTCTACCTCTATTCATGGTTGTGCTGTTTCCGGAGAGGTGCAGAACTTGCAGAAAATGAGCCCGCAGTGAGTGAAAATGTGACAGAAGGTAAAACAGCCTGAAGTTCAGAGGATCATGCATAGTTGAGGTAACTTTCTTGATTTTTTTGGGTGGGGAAAAAAAGGTCTTACAAGACTAAAGTAGGAAATATGACGGTAGCCTTAAAAGGTAATACTGTTGCAGACATTATTTAATCACCGGCTAAGATGATTAGGTCATATATAGGAACCAGTGGGATGGTGTCACCAAACAGGACGTGACAAATAGAAGATGAAATCCAGAAATGTCCACTGCACAGCTGTGAGCTAGTTGCTTCCAGAGAAGGATATACTCGACTAAGGCTCGACATCCTCAGAAACGCTGAGCCGACGGTCTACTGGCATCACTACATAGACTTTCTGAGTAACCCTTAGTTCTCGCACTGAGGTCTGATTCTGAAAAGTTCATCATGTGGTTTTATTTCATCTGCAGGACTGATGTTGGAAAGAGGCACAGGAACGATTTGGAAAATGATTTTCTCTCCTATTAAAAACAATGACCATTCTGTATGAGTCAAAGGCTTGGAAATAACTGCTCTGGCAGCATGCTTTGTGTAATTTATAATAATTTGCCAGATCACCACAGTAGCTAAAAAGTCTGCCCTTATGTAGACTATTAGTATATTTAAAACTAAAATTACTATAAAAAAAAACTAAACAAAAAATAAACAGTATTACTGCTGTGATGCTCTGATAGAGGAGAGCAAAACTATGAATAAAGTTTTATTCAGGGACTAAAACCCTGCTGTGACTAATTACACTAGTGGCATTTTTAATTTCAATTTTTAATTTTTTACATTCTTCTGTAATTCACACAATTCAAAAATGCACAATTTATTTATTATTATTATTATTATTATTATTATTTTTTTACAAATTCGGAATTAATTATTTATTTTGGTGAAATGTTAAACAAGACATGTAGAATAGGCTGATTTTGATCATATATCATTTTCCCAATAGAACTGGAGGTTGCATACAACTACTTTAAGGAATGTTTCAAAATCAAATTCCGAAATTTGCGGTGCTAAATGGTGTAATTTTGGCATTAAAAAGCTAAATTAGGTATTTTAAACTGTTCCGAGTCACACTGAAGTTGAAGATTGATGATGAACGAGTTGGACAGAACACCACGGTCTTGGACAGGCAGGATTACATGAACGTGATCATTTGTGGTGCATCTATAAATGTTATCTCCCCAACACTTCTTGCACTCATGCAGCCCCACATCATCACACTAACACCTCCGTGCTTCACTGTCAGGACTGTGCATTCACTGTCATAGTTCTTGCCAGGTTCACGTGAGATATGACCACCTGTTTTCTGTCTCTTACCGGCAGCGATCTGAGTGTGTGTGGGGTTGGAGAAGGTGGCAGAGTTGAGTGCGGCAGACTGGCGGCTGTTGGCTGACGGTTGGTGGTGATGGTGGTGAGGAGGCGTCACCCTCATGGAGCTCCTTCTCAGCTGCTCCAGCTCTGTTAGCCGCTCAGAGAAAGCCAGAGAGCCCGGTTTGACCTCGTCCATCTTCTGACGGTGACCTGGGAGGGAGAGTGGAGATGAAATCTCTGTGATTGCTCTCTAGCACCAGTTTAAGCGGCTAAAAGTGCAAGATGTCGATACCAAGAGGACTTCATGGCTGTAATCTGATTACATAATTCAGGGTAACTGGCTATAACAGGGTCTCCACATTGTTAACACGTTGTGTCTGCTGTTGTGTTCGGGAATCTGGCGATGGGCGCCGCGTAGGGGTCTGGCTGTTTGTGTGTGTGTGTGTGAGAGAGAGTGTGTGTGTGGTGGTCTGTCACGCTGTCTGTGGTGTTGGCTGCACTTCAAAGGCCTGAGACTGAGCTCCAGTTACAGGCACTTCCTCCCAATGGGGGAAGTGTGCATGTGTGTATTTATACTGTGTGTGTGTGTGTGTGTGTGTGTGTGTGTGTGGGCGGGTTATAGACGAGTGATGGTTATTCACAGCTGAGCGGCGCTGGCAGGAGTCTTCCTGTCTTTCTGTCACCTCTCGTCTCTCCTGACTCTTCAGACGAGTGTCGTTCAGTTCATTTCACTTCCATTTAACATGAACGAACGGCATTTTTATGACATATATGAGTATTTGCTGGCTAAACCAGATCCGTCTTTCCCTCTTGCTTTCATCCGCCATTAGAAATCCCCGTGTTTCATCATACTGCGCTGCAGAGGAACTCAGTGTTGCATCAGGTTCCTTATTGACTCACTCAGTTTAGAGTTTGTCTGTAGGGATAAGCAGCATTTTTTCACTGAGCAATCTAACAGAAATAATGGTTCTTCCGCTACCACTTAAGAACTGTGAATTTAGTCGAACACACTTCGTGTGGCTCTCGTACTAAAGGTTGTTTACATTTATTGAAGTAGCAGGTATCAAATTAGAGCTGCAACACTTAAAAACAGTGAGAAATGCCCATCAGTCTCCAAAATATTACCAGATATATTGTAAATGAAAAACCCAAAATGCTGCATATTTTTACCTTTACAGATCATATATAGCAGTTTTTGGGATCAGTGTGTCTCTTGCTGTCAAATGCATTCAGTGTTTCTTGAGTTTTAGTTTAGATCTATGAACTCATACAAAGTTTAGGGCTCTTTGTTCCCCCTCACAGTGACTGATTTTGTGTTCATGTGCTTGTTTTTCAACCTACACAAAATAAATTTCATTAAAAATGCTCAAAGAACCGTTTATTTTGAGAACAATTTGAAACCGGTTCTTCACCTGGTCCTCAAAGAACCATCCTGAAAATGGTTCCTAAAAGAACCTACTTGCCAGAAAGGATCTATGACTGAGCCTTGTGGAAAGCCAGGTTTTTATCCACCAAGGGGGGAAAATGTCAACATTTGGTCACTCACGTCGTGGCTCTCTGGGACCGTCCACCGTGATTTTAATGGCTCTCTGGTACGTGGCCACCTGAGGAGGGTTGGTGAACACTGTGATGGTCAGGGTGAAGCTCTTTCCTGTGAAGAAAAAGGAAAAGGAAAAAGAAGAGGGGAAGCACAAAAAAGATGAGAGAAAGAAAAAAGAAAAGGAAATAGAATGGAATGAAACACAGAAGGGCATTGGTTAGTCTTCTCGAGCAAATTCAAGGAATGTATAATATTTAACTATCAGGCAAAGTTTTCCAAAACACTGACAACACACTCTATTTTCATTCCATTCTTAGACTACACAGTTTTTATTGTAACTGTTGACATGTCTGTGTAGATTCTTCTAGGTCATAGTAAAGCTGACTGCTAAAGCCGGAGGAAACACTTTGAGTCATCCTTCACCGGGCAGTTTCACAAACATCCACACCTTGAGACATGAGACGTGGCTTGAGTCATTTTTGTACTGAGATTGTGTTAGAAGTACCTGAGAAGCGGGATTGTAGACTCCATCTGTATATTGAAGGACTCAGGTGCTAAACATGGTAACGCTAGTGGCCTCATTCAATAAAAGCTAGGTTGCTAAGGAGGCAATAAACTGCCATTTCATCGAAAACAATCCGTTTTTTCTGTGGCGCGGTTTGTGCTTCAACAGATGAGACGGTAAAAATGAAAGTTTGTCTCATTTTTTACTTTCGCATTACAATCCATAAACCGTCAGCAAAAGAATTTACTTGCATTCGTCTCAGCAGTTCTACTGAAAAGAATTGATTTTGCGGGAAAATCTGAATTTGCAGCCATTTTAAATGTGGCTGGGCCTTTGGACCAAGTTACCAACCTGTGACGACATGATGGATGGCTTGATTGTTTGTTATCTTGCATTTCCCTGTACCCTGACATGCAGTAAATACGGTTTCAGTGGATTTTTTTTAAAGCTTGAAATACTCAAAACAGTGTTATGATGAGAAACGGCTATGAACAAATCACATGGGACAGCAAAAAGGATTGGTTTGTAATATTTTCTAGCTTATATTTAAATTGTCACTCACCCTATCAGTACTGTTGCTGTGGTTACTCCCTGCTTAAAACAGCCTGAGCACCGATTTAGAAAACAGAATATAACTGCGATGCCCCAATAAACAATCGCCATGGACACCTGCCAGCCAATCGGAAACGAGAGTTTTATTTAACTCTGGTATAAAAACTATCAGGCCACAAAAATCTTGCTGCAGTCGAAGTGCGGTCAGGCCTTAGAACAACACATGCAACAAATGTCTGCGCTACACATGTGTAGGACTATTTGTGTGTGCGTGGATCTCGTTGGGGGGTCAGCTTTGGAAGTGGCACTCACTCAACACTATGCTCACTACAAACACACGCTCACTGCTGCTATTGTGTGCGTTGTTTGACTGGAGTACAGTTACCATATGCAGACAGTCTGATGCCACACAGACACACATAAGTGGGGAATGCCAGGTGCTACTCTCACTTCTCTTTCTCTTTTGTACAACATCAGCATCACTGGCTGATGTTAACCAAATGGACGAAATTAACACATGGTCAGAATTCATGTTGCACAACAAATGTAAACAAGTCTGTTTCTTTTTCAGTCTAAATATTGTATATATATTTTTTTTAACTCAATTTTATATTTTTGTCATCTTATGTATATACTCATTTTATTTTATTACTGATTTATTGCTATTTCCTAGTACTTCTTTTCTATATTTTCGGATGCTGCTGTGGCATGTAAATTTCCCCCAATGGGGGATCAATCCATCCATCCATTATCTATACACCGCTTAATCATCACTAGGGTCGCGGGGGGGCTGGAGCCTATCCCAGCTGACAGGGCAAAAACACAATTTATTGTGTCCACAGAAGGCAGACACGACCTGCTGCACTGATGTCCACTAGATGGCACCTAAAACTTCCCAGTTTGACAAGTGATATACACACACTTTAATATTCATTCATTCATCATCTATACACCGCTTAATCCTCATGAGGGTCGCGGGGGGGCTGGAGTCTATCCCAGCCGACTCAGGGTGAAGGCAGGGGACACCCTGGACAGGTCGCCAGTCTATCACAGGGCTACACTTAGAGACAGACAACCAAGCACACTCACATTCACACCTACGGACAATTTAGAATCACCAATTAACCTCAACATGTTTTTGGACTGTGTGGGAGGAAGCCGGAGAACCCGGAGAGAACCCACGCTGCACGGAGAGAACATGCAAACTCCACGCAGAAAGATTCCGGTGCCCCCACCGGGACGCGAACCGGCGACCTTCTTGCTGCGAGGCAAAAATGCTACCAACTGCACCACCCTGCAGCCCCACACTTTAATAAATTACTGTAATCCATTTTATAATACAATCACGTAGTGCACAGCACTGCCAACATACGGGTAAATGCCATAAAAACATTGAGCTTGTTTGGGAGCCAAAAACAAGAATTGTAGTTAAAAGCACTGTAATAGTTGTCAGTGTGAATTAAACAAAAACTTTTTTGTGTGTTTAGAGCAACTTGATTTTGGCTGCTAATTTAGATGGATTTTACAATAAGGTGAATTATTTATCCCTGGATTTTACAATATGTTTATTAGACTTGCTGCCTTTAAATAAATGTTCAAAATCCATAAAAATGCAACTTACCCTATGCCTAATTTTTTACATTTATTTATTTTCTTTCTTTCTTTCTTTTCTTCTTCTTCTTCTTCTTCTTTTTTTTTTTTTAACCATTTAAGGTGTTTCAGCGCTACATACTTTTTAAACCTTAAACAAAATTCTCAATTCTGGATTATATATATATAAAATTATTGCTAAAATTCACACTGATGTTTACACATTTTAAAAGAAGCAACAGTTGGAATTTGCAGACAACTACAGTGACAGATAATGTTGACTACACTCTGAACACAGTGTATTATTAGAAAGTCAACATTAAGTCTCACATTCTACTGTAAAGTGCTGTAATCCATTTAATACTAATTTTCTGTTTGTTTGCTATTCATCACTACCACTGTAAAAATACATGCAAATTCTAACAGTTGTGTACTATTTTTCCAAAACACAGTTAAATACCATCTAACATTTTATGCCTTTTTGAAGGCAAAAATAGGATTTATGATTAACAGCAGGCTGCTGTGGAGGAAAACGTTTTTCGCACAACATTCAGTGTTTAGAGTAGCAGCTTGATTTGGGTAACTAATTAATCTAAACTTTACACTGTGATAGATTTTACACTAAGGTAAATTATGTGTGAATTAGTGCTAAATGTAATTTAAACATTAAACATTAAATCTCTATTCAGGATCCTAGATATTAACTTATTTTTTCAAAAAGAAGAAAATTTTGTAAATTACAGATAATTAGTCTTTTTTTTTTTTTTTAACAGTGGCAGCACTAAATAAAGTATAATCACAATATTAAAAAATAAACATCAAATACTGTAGAGTGCTGTTATCCATTACATAGTCATTATCTGTTTGAGTAGGTTAAAATACTGTAAAAATACTGGCGATCACAGATTCCAGTATTCCATTATAAATTTGCAGGAACATTAGTTACGGCACATTTACTGTTCATTCTTTTCCATACGCAGCATATAGATCACCGTATATGAATGAACAAACGCTGCAGTATGAACAGAACGTGTTGTGTTGGGGTGCAGGTTGTTTGAGAGTTTACAGTAAGAGATTTCGGCTGATAGAGAGAGACAGGAGGAGGGAGAGAACAGCTGAAGTCTTTGTGTCTGTTGTGTCTATCAGCCAGCTGGTCTCATCTCACACACACACACACACACACACGGCTTTGTGATTTGGTAATCTAGTGTGTGTGTGTGCCTTGACAACAGTGTTTTCCGGGACTTTCTGTGTGATCTCTCCCGTCTTCTTCACTCTCAGAAGATAAGAGTGGATTTCACACATGAGGTGAGTTGTGTGTGTGCGTTCGTCTTGTCGGGACTCGCTGAGTTGTGTTCATCCAGTTTTTCCTCCTCACCATCCGATCAGGCAGAATCTCTTATTTACATCGACAAAGCAATGAGTGTGTGTCTCCGGAATAACAAGCCGGTGTTTGTGTGTGTAAGTGTGTGTGTGTGTGTGTGTGTGCAGTCGTGTATTGTGAAAGAGAAAAATGTTGGTCCTGTTTAAAAGAGGAACTAAAGGAGAGCCTGAAAACTGGTTGCATATGTGCATACACACACAGACATGGTGGTAGTATCCTGAAACATCATGTGAAACAAACGCACAACAAGTGGGAGATGTTGCATCATGTGTTGAGAAGTTAGTGTTCTGCTCCTATTCCACCATTTACTGCACCTTAAATCTATCCTGCCTTGTCCTCTTTCAGTAGGAAACCACCCGGAGTTGTTTATCTGCAGGTATACAGCATATACCCACCCCCCTCTGTGTGGTAGGGGATTTACTTTATACTTAGTAAGAAAGGCCACAGATACATATCAGAGCACATCCTGTAGAGTAAAACTGGAATGAGTCATGAGTCGTCTGTTAAAATGTCTCAGCTACGAACAAAGCACACTAAATGTCCTGCAAGAGTGAGCACAAAGTCTTCATGCACTACCAGCATCTGAGGAACTGAAGTCCTTTAAGCATGTTGTGTGGAAAATGTGGCCAATGTTACGACTAGCTTTGATAGTACGTCCACAAGTCAGAGCTCTGTGGAAACGTTAAGACCAAATTCCACCACCTAAACTCAGTCAGTGTTTCCATTTCTGCTTCTCTTTGTGCTCACAGCTGAATTCCTCAAAAAACTGCTTCTGTTGTCCGACAAGGAAACAAAGTTTTATTCTGTCAAACATGGGAAAAGAGAGAGTCTTCTTCCTGAAGGGGGCAAGACAGCAGCAGCTTAGCTGCATTTACAGTTACAGACACTGAAATAGTCCATTTACAAAGCGGCTAATACCAGCACTCATACAGTCATGGGGAAATGAACAACCTTTATAGGATTTTGAGCTGGATGGGGTACAAAATGGAAGCTTTAAATCACATTGAGAGCATGTGGGCTCTTCTCAAATGATTTACAGTGGCCAAAAGTGTCATTTTGTGTTACTTTTTTAAAAATTTTTTTACATTAACTCTAAAAATTAAGAACAAATGACCTTGGGAAAGCCTTTTTGTCCTTTCATTGTCTAGTAATTATGCACTTTAAATATATAAGAGCACACAATTATTAGGCAACCAACTACAAAAAAAAAATGTCCTCATTTTTCCCTTTGTTATACACTTAGGTTTGAGGTTCCACAATATTTTGATTTGCCTGAGATCATCGTGTCTGTTGAATATTAAGCCTTGCATGTATTCAATTGAACTGTATTTGTTTAAAGACTGAGCCAGGTTCAGATTTTTTGCCAAATCATGCTGCATTTTACTCATTAGTTGGTTTAGACAGGATGGAGCTTCAGACAGATTCATCAGTATGACTGATTTTATCCCGAAATATGACTGTGTATGTCATTAAGTTGAAAATGAAACACAGGAATCTATTTTGACTTCATGTGATGAGAAAAACAGTGAGTGAAACCACACTGCAGCTCCACGTCGATCGAAGCACTCAGTAAATGGTGCGAAACGTCTGTGTGTGTGTGTGTGTTGTAACTGTGTTCCTACAAAACAAGGAAGCCTGACTAATGATGACTAAGTTGGAGAACCCTGACACCGACTACCACGCTCACACACACACACACAAACCCACGATGAAACCACTGGTCAAACCACTAAACCACTCATTGTGTCGGCAGCTAAACTAACCACTTCCCACACAGACAGTTAATGACAGTTAGAGGTTTAAGGTGGAGAAACTCTGCTTGACATGTGGCTTGTTATCACACAATACATCAAACCCTCAGTGTTTTCATAATTTCCTCCTGAAATCAGGTTGGCAAACAACAGCTGATCTCTTTAGGTGTGGCTCCAGACCGCTTTGATCCAGACTAAAATATCTCAACAGGCATGCAGGATGAACTGTAACGGCTTTGGCAGCTCCTCGCTTTTTCATCTGGTCCAAATGTGATTCAAATTTTGCTTTGTAAAATGAGATAATATGTGCTTTATTGTCCACTCGGAAAACTCTTCTTGGCATCACTGCATCATTATCGCTTGATTCAGTTTGCAACAGAAGTACACCTCTATGCAATATCACTTAAATGTCAAATGAGTGAGCAGTATTTCCTCTAATCAAAAACAAACACTTTAGAAAGGCTATATTGAAGATACAGGCCACAAAGTAGAAACTCAACGAAACAAAAGTGCACACATCCATAAATACAACTGTGTTGAAGTGAAAACATTAAGAACATGGCTAGAAATTGATTTGTGAACGGCAGAATTTGCTCAGTTTTGGACATGGTGGTGGTTATAAAATAAGCAAAGTATTCTATTCTAATGAAGTACTCTATGTATTTGCATGTCTGCATCATGGCTCAACATGGAAAAGAATTGCCAGAGTTCCGGAAAAATCTGATTGTGAGACTTCACATGGGTGGGAAAGGAAAGCAGCAGTAATCTAGAGGTTTAGATCTGAGTCATAGCGGCTGCAGTACTTCGAAAATGATGCCATGGATGGCGAGCTATTGAAGTGATCAATTTGGGAGCGAATTTTGTGATCAGATTGGACCACAATAAATTTCTTTGGCTCAGATGGGGTCATATTTCATTCGAACCTGACACAGGTTCACACTCACGGTGAATGCATCGTCGTGACAGTGAAGCTAAATGCTGTTCATATGTCGTCTGAATGGAATCCACCTTTATGGTATTGCGAGGACAAAGGCAGAACAACACAATCCCTCTAGGAAAAGGTGAAAAAATAAAGAATGGCAGCTCATCTCTCCAGAAATGTGGTATCGTCCTCATCAAAAATGAAGTTGGACATATGAATTACAGAGAAAAATTAAAGATATGGGCCTGTACTTTTAATGTAGTAAATCTAAATATATTTTTTTTGATTATGCAAAAAAGAAAATACTCTCTTGTTCAACATCATACAATAGAATCTTTTTACATTTACGTTGAATTCTGTTCTTTTCTGTTAAAAATGACACAGGTACAAAGAAAACACGTAGTTCAAAATCATCAACTCAGCCAGCTATAAATCAACTGAAAAAAAAAAAAAAGTATGATTATCTTGAAATACTGCAGATATACAGTGATGCTGAGAACATGAACTTCATTGTGCTCTGTGCTGGTAAATTTGCATGAAAACAAATTTTCTACTCCTCAGCTTTCTTCATTTGAATTATACTGGGATGGAATTGTTAATGCATTCGTTTTTAACTGAAAGACTGTGTAATCTATAAAATATTGACAGTTATTCCTGTATTTCCATTCAGCTGGGGAGCACTTATAAATTGTATGTGCGTTAGCGGAGCTTGTGTACACAGGACTGGTGTTTTAAATAGATAAGTTGGGACATTTGCCTGCGACTGATTTAGAGTAACTGTGGTCTAGTGTATCCGTTAAAGAGGGAGCGAGAAGGGGGGGGGTGGGAGGCCGAGTGAGGTAGACGCTGAATGTTAGGAGGAAGTTGTGTGAATACTGTTTTTATTCACATGTACTTCCCCTAATTTATCCGCGCCGTGTTGTGAAAAACATGTCTAATAAATTTCAACCAGTGTTAAAGGTTGATACTTCCTTCACCAAAGACACTTATTGTGCCGATGCTGCTGTAGCCTATGTTTTTCTATATTTTCTATACAATACAGTGTATTTCCGTGTGCGTACCTCTTCCACTGCGGCCGACGAAACGCAGGTCATTGAATCGGGCCACTTGGTTCTTAATGGCAGCCGTGGCATTGCGAAGCTCCGCTGAGTAATTCTCGTCATTTCCGGCCATCACTGTTACCAAGGTGCCGTCAGGGATGTCGCCCAGGGCAACCACCTAAAGCCATGATGGGAGAAAAATGAACTGAAGATGGAGTTTTTTAATGTATGCCCTATTAAAGTCTACTGCAAACAGGAAGAGAAGCATGTTGGTGTATGATGTCGAAAATATAACTGAAGATTCATTGTACAAAACCAAAAATGACAATATTAATGAATTCAGCCACTTTAAGATCTATTAACCCTCTAAATGCCAAAACACTTCTGCAGATGTGAAAGGAATGTTTTCTTGATAAAAACAAAACCAAAATTACAGCATTTAGTAGAGTCCAAACTGTAAACACAGAAAAATCATGAGATTTTCAAGCTTCCTACGGTTCTTGAACTACTCATCTGTGAAGTTCGGTTCCATTAGAAAGTTAAGCAAATGTAAGCTGAAGATTTTGTAACAAAAAACAAACCAAAAAAAGAAACAATAACAACAAAACCCTGAAAAGTTCTGCATTCGTTGATGCAACTGAGAGCAAAGTGACTCAGCTGCAGCCATGAAAGAAAGAAATCAGCAACCTTTTAACTGGACTGGGATGAACCACAGGCTGTGTTTACATGGAGGACAAGTATGGAACACCGTTTTAATTTTTTAAAATGTATTTGTTGCATTATAACTGCGCCACATTACACAGAAGACATTGCTAAGTTTTGTCTAGAAGCGAAAAATGGCCAAAAACTGTTCTAGCGGTCAAAGAACAAAATTCTTTCCGTTCTAAGAGGATAACTATAGTCTGATCTGTTGGTCACTGACGAGCTCTTGCGTATATACTTACCCTTACCCTATATTTACCCTGAAATTTCATGCAAATTATTAAACAAAAGGTCAATCATTTTCCTCATTTGAAAAACTTTCCCAGTAAACACGTGGAAAACGGATGCACACATGACGCTTGGTGCACTCGAGAGCACATTCTTCTCTTCCATGCCTACACAAACACAGAGCCGGGAGGATGATTTCCATATTAACGCAGATCACAACGAGCCATCAGTGTGCAAATGTCCAGGGCAGATACTGTACTATGGGCAATTTCTCTTTTAACCCTGAGCTCTCCAAGTGAACAACTGATGACTGACACACTGGGATGAACCTCTCAGTTAACGCTTGGTCTTCCTCTTGTTTGAAGCTGTTTTATAACTCACCCACCAATCAAGGTATTGATTTGACTGGGTGAACTGAGTTGAGGTGCTGGGTTTTAAAAATACAGGTCTTGGCCTGGAAACAGTTCAAGGACTGAGAGAGGAAGAAAGAACACACACACACACACACACACACACTTGTACACAACAGAGAGACTGGCAGCAATGGAGCATGAAAGCAGCCTAGCAGAATAAACAAGACAAAGGAAACAATTATGAAAGTCTCAGACCAAGGCCAGTGTGTGTGTGCGTGCACTCTTTAAACCGCCGCTTGTGTGCATACAGCACCTGTGTGCATGCCCACAGTGTAAATGCTGCCACATACGTACAAATGTGCACGGCTGCGTTGCACAAGTGTGCGCACAGAGCGTGTATTTGTGTGCGCTTCTCAACAGTCATCCATTATCAGTAAGAGGCAGTGACATCCGCTCATGACACTCTATAATGATGCATAATGCACCAAACTCACAAACACGCACACATGCATGTGCGAACACTAATGCATAAAACTCAATAAATCAATCCGCTGTGTGTTCTGCGGCTAAAAGCTGCTTTTCCACAAATGCATTTTGTCTCAAAGTGCAGGAAAGCCGTCCGCATACACACACACACACACATCAACACCCGAGGGAGTGCACTGCAAAAAATAAAATAAAAATGTAGCCGTCATACAGTGTGCGTAAAAACGCTGCAGGCGGATGTATCAAATGATGCTGTTTTATTGTGGTAAAAGAGTATGAAACCCTGGATAATGGTTATGTGTGAATGAAGCTATCAAAAATGAATATATATATGTATATATATAGTGTGTTTTTTAGCAGATATTCTGATGTGTTTTCAGTGGCATTAATTTGTTTATTTGTTTATTTAGACGGGACGGTGCGCATTAATGTACATACAATCTCAGGTTGTAGTAAATACGCCGGATTTAGCACGAGGTGAATTTCAAAGGCTAATTAATCTAGCTTTTAATCACCACCCAGTGAAAAACATGTGTCTCAAAAAGAGTTTCTTTACAGGCTGCAACGTCTTGATAAAATAGTTACTCTTAAGCATGATCTCTCTCCTTGTAAAATGAAAGAAAACAAACAAACTCCTTTCGTTTTAGCTTCAAACTCTGTGACAAGCTTTAGTTAACATTAGTGCTGAAATACCTATCTGATAAATCCACTCATCAATTTACATAAATCATTCAAACGCTATTTTGACTTTGTGTCAGTTTGATGTTCAAGTCATTTATAAAAGAAAAATGTCAATGATTAATTGATTTTCTTTTCAAATGTGAAGATTGGCTGCTTTTCTCTGTTTCTATCATTGTGAGGTGTTGGGCTCTTTGAGGAAGCAAAGAATCAGCTGATTAAGTGATGGAAATATTCTAATATGTCGAGAACAAGTCAGATTTATACAGTAAAGAAAAAATATATACTGTATGAACTCAACAACAACAAAATTAAAATATGCAGTTGCCTCAAGTTAAAAAAGCACCGATAAACTTAGTTGTATTTGAAATTTGAGTTAAAGTCAAACACACACACATACATTCCACTATATATTTACATGTAATGTTAAAATAGAGTTAATTACAGTATGTGTTAAAATGAAACATATTTTATCTGTTGATCACATACCAAAACTGGATATCAATATATCAGCTGAAATTTATACATTTTTGGAATAAATTATTAAACCACTTCCTATGTTCTTCACAAAGGTTGCACACAAGGCCTCCAGCATCAATAATTTAGTTTGAATTTTACTGGTTAAACAATTAGATCATTTTCTTTAAAAAAATAAACATCTGCAAAAAAATTCAAAGTAGATGGTGCAATATTTTGTGAGTGACCATTATTTTGTGCAAACCTGTGTACATATAAAGTCAACCCATGAACCAAGCTAAATTATCACTCAACAATGCCAAAAAGAAGTGAATTACTTAAAATAGAGGAATACAGCAAGAGAGTCATCGCTAACCGGCTTGGAATCAACAAAACAGAGTCACTGTATGTCTCTGACAAGAAGAAAACAGTGGTCACAGTGGTTTAAAAATCATTTTTAGAGATGGATGTATATACACATGTCGTATGTTAGAGTTGTACCAAAAAGGGAAAATAATGGAGTCATTGCAACATGTCTCACAAACTAGTTAGCAACTTACTTTTAAGATACCGCTTGACTCCGCACCACCATTTGCTCAGCTACATGTGCTGCTGAGTGTAAACAATGGAGTCAGAGCTGCAACTAACTATGTGATGACATATGTTTCTAAATGACCTCAAGCATAATTTAATAATAGACTTTAATGATAATGTCGATCCACTGGGCTTGAATCACGTTATGTACGTAACATCTAAATGCCGGGAGTCAAAAGTAGAATCATCCTTCCTGGGATGTAGTGGAGTGAAATGTTAAAGTAGTGCCAACATACACACCTTAAAAGCGATGGGCAGAGTCTTGTTACACCTCCAGTGAGTCGGCAGCACAGAGCAGAGGAAGTTGGGACTGTCTGTCTTCACCAGCTCGCCTGGATGGTCCGAGATCACCTGCAGAAACAGCAACACGGTGACTTTCTACAACTCTGACGTTATTAAGAAGCAGTGACCTCCCCGCCGTCCTACCTCCACCATGCCGCGGTCGGCCATGCGCAGTTTGCCCACCAGAGACGCCCCGCCACCGGCCTCCTGGGCTCCCAGGGGCAGGGCCTCGGCCATCTTCCCCCCCGAGGCGAGTGTGGTGGAGGGGGGAGTGTAGCGCCGGCCAGGGGCTGGGTCTGGGAGAGAATGGACGAGTTCAATTTAATTTTGCGCTGCTCTGAATACATATTGGAGACACTTGAATCACATACTGACAAATATCAGAGGAAGTGAAAGATCTAAAATGATTCATTTTGATGATTAATTTATCATCAGGATATTTTTTAGGGTGGAAAAAATGAGATAAATCCACCACCTCCAGGTTTTATTCAGAATTAAATCTAAAAGGGAGCATTTTTCTTCATAATAAATTGTTTATTTCGAGGCTTTGGGCTAACAAGACTTTTAAATACACCAATTTTTCCCCTGTTTTATGACATTAAATAGATCAATCAGCAAATAATGACATATTCCTGCAGACTTATCACAAAACAAGAACTGAGGTGAAATTTGAGTTGCTATAAAAGAGAAATAATCCTTCGAAATACTTTCATCTTTACAATCCTGTGAGCTTCTCTTCGCTGTAAATTCACACATGCCTGCTTCACTTCTAAATTCTGAGAATTGCTGTGACAAGAACGAAAGGATGTAGAAAATAGGACAAGGGGTGTGTTCTGACATGACTCAAAGAGAGGTTAAAGATGCTCCAACCCCCACACAGATATACACAGTGCACAATGACACATACGTTGATTTGAATGCCCGAGTGCGTAGTCATGAAACTAAAGACAGCAGCAGTGCTCCTGCACCCGTTCCCCTTTGTTCAAGTCTTGTGTGGGTCAATAGTTGTGAGAAAAGCAAGAAAGAGAACATATCTATGCAGCACACAGCGGTTGAAGATCACGTCATCCAGTCAGGGAAGTGAATGAAAGCGACAGAATGTGAGAAATAAGCAGCTCTGTGCATCTGTCTGCAGTGTCTCTGCTGGTTTGTCAGTCAGCCAACCCGCAATTGAAGCCACATGCTGGCGGTTTGGAGTTTAGTTTACAGTTTAAAACCCTCCCACTGCTACTACACTGCACAACCGGTAGGTTAAACAGTCCACACACACGCTCAGGAGAGAAACTCCACTTTAAATAACCTTGTTTACACAAAGAGTAAATACTTCAGAGGTTCAAGTGGAAATTTGTAGTTAAATGTAAGATTTATTGGATTCTGAAGCAATAAAACCTTTGAATAAGAGTTGAAGGCGGTTCAGGAAAATACAAGTTCATTTTTCCCACAATGTTGACATGAATGAAGCTTTGTTGAAGCGATAAAGCTACAATCTGCTGTTATTTTTCTAGAATAGCAGGTATCATTTTAAAGCTAAAACAAGCAGATTGTGACTGACTGTGATCCTGCAGCAAAAGCTGAAGTGTCAGAATTTGAACCGTTTGCTGAGATTAATTTTTTCATTCAACAGTTCTCATCTGCAGCAGACACTGGATCAGTAAAATACATGACTGTCTGTCATTATCGCCATCTCTTTCCCTATGGGGGTTTCTGGGACTCTTTTGACTCAAAGCACACATTTTAATTGAAGGAAAAGGATGGATTCCAGATAAATTATGCAGAATTGTAATATAATTAAAAGGCAGTTTAATTTTTATTGTTTGAAAAAAAAACCTCTGAAATCCTGCTGCAAGTGACTCCACAAATCTCGCTGAAAATGTCCCAATCACTAATAATTTATTATAATAAAGGCACTTATAGTTTGAATTTGTCTGAATATATGATTGTAAATACTGTCGGAGTGCGCAGTCAACATGACAGAGTTTAGGCTGCTTTTATAAATGGAAATACAGTGTAGTTCAGGTACTTTCTACAAGAGAGGAAATATAGGAATTATAGAATTTAAAGCAGAACTGAACTGTCGGTGTGTTTGTGTCTGTGTGTGGTTTGGACTCAGTAACAGGGAAAGTTACAGCCTTACTGACTAATAAAGACAAGATTTCTAAAATACACTTGACTTCCAAACAGCCTAAGTACAAACATGAACCCACAGCAGGACAAACAGCAGAGGGAAAAGTCCTCAAACAGCCAAACTTTTCCCCTAATAAGTAAATAGATAAACATAAATAAATACATTTTAAACCCATCACACTGATGAGTAGATTATGACTGCAATTGATATGAACTTGCCAGGAATTAGTGCGTAAAAGCGCAGAGGAGCGACACGGGAGCATGATTTTATGGCCTGTTTTGCCTCTTTAAATACACATTTCTAAAAATCACGCCGCTGCGGGAACGTGATCCTGACAACCGCAACTATTTTCGTGTTTAAATAAACTATTTAAAAGATAAAAAAATAAAAAAATAAAACTTGTACCGTATTTCGCGTCCCACAGAAACACCATTTGTGCTCCACGGTGCGTCCACAGAATCTCAACTCCAGCGATCTTCACTTTAAACCTCCTGATTTCTTCGTATTTGCTGCACAAGAAACAAGATTGGTTTCTTTGCTTGTAGTTGCCGATTAGCTCGCCGAGTTATTCGCGCAGTGTCGGTGCGCTATCCGGTCCGGATATCAAGTCTCTAAAAGCGAGCCAAAACGATCTCCAAAGCAGATCTCCACACAGTTCAGTGCGTTTTTCTTGTGTTCTCCATGCAGAATAGAAGTTGTGGTGGATTTTGGAAAGCCTTCAAAGCTTCCGCGCAGCTCAAATGAAACCTCCAAACATGTTAAAAATAGAAGGAAGTGGCGAAAAGGGGGAAGAAGGAGGACAAGAAAATCCGCGCTGAATGTATTTCAGGCTGAATCTTGTTATTTAAGTGTAAATGTGTTACGCTCTCTCTGTTCCCCAGCTGCGTCTCTCTCCCTTCCCCTCTAGATGAATGGCCATTCCGGCTGACAGCGCCAGCCTTTTACCGGCAGACCCCTGGATTTGCATGTCATCTGTGCAGGAGAAGCTTTCAGCCAATCAGGGAGCTCGCCGCCGGCTGCCACCGCGAGGGAATCAACTAATCAGAGTTACGTCCGTCCGAAAGGAGGCGGGTTTTAGCTGCTGCATGAAACTGCAGCATTAAGAATTCAATATGTGAGCAAACATTATGATACAAACGTGCAGCTAAATATGTATTAGATCAGTTACTCCATACTTAGATTAAAGACTTTAAACTGAGCAGGATGTGACAACTGCTGCTCCTTTCTTATCCTGTTAATCCAAATCCACTTATTGTACAATCTACACACTTTAGTACATAATGTTTGAGTCTCCAAACTCTCTGTTTTCAGAGATTCTCTCACTGTAGGTTTGATAAAACTGAAACCAGCAAACCAAACTGTCAGTACCAGATCATGACAACAGGGGGCAGTAGGGGATCTAAGTCAAAGCACCTGCTTCCTGAGAGCAGCACCGGATGAAGTGCAGCACCAAAGAGAGCTGAAGTCAGGCAGAAAATGTGAATTTTGTGGAGTATTACTATATAAATACTGCTTCAAATTCAAAATCGCTTCACATTCTGTGAAACCTCCTTTCCCAACACATTTAAGTTCACTGAGGTGAAATTTGGACTGTGTGAATTTAAATCACATCTAAATTGTTGGTAGTAAATGAGATAATTGTTCCTAAGGTGATATAATTTAAGAATAAATTAAATCTATATGTTAGATTGATGTAGTATTTAGCTTAGTAAGAGAAAATCTTTCACCGATGATAATTTTTAATCCACTTTATTTAATTCTGATAGACTTCATATATTTTGTTGTCTGTTTCAAGTTGATTGTTGCTGCATATCTTACACAGAGACATTTTTATTTTCAGTGAGGTTTATTTAATTATGTAATAGACAATAAAAAAAATGTTAAAATTATACTAGTGGATGAGTTAGGAAAAACTGTTATCACACATACTCTCTAAAAAGCAATAAATATGTATCATATATAGAGTAAAACATATATAATAAATATCTAATTTATTGATTTAGATAAACCTCTTAAGTTACAAATATTATTTTGATAGGTTTTCCATGACATAATAATGTTGCCGTCAACTTAATATTGTGTGTAATTTAGACTCAAATTCCTTTATTAGCTTTCCTTTCATTAGCTGATTTGAAACTAAATTCAAGTTGAGGGAACTTAATGGAATTGTCTTGATAACTTTTCTTCATCTTGAGTCCTTCCTCTATTTTAACATGTCTGGACAATTTCAGATGGTTAACACTGATAATTAAAAATAACTGCAGAAGAAAAGTAAATTCTTGTAACTTCATTCAGTTTGGTGGTTGAACATAATTTAAAAATGATCTTTTTAAGCAAATAAGTGAAATTTGACACGATAAAACTATATTTTATTAACTCAAAATCTACACAATTCATATTTCTAAAAAAAAAAAACCCTTTACAATTATTTGATTCTCTAATTTTCATCTTCTCCTCATTTGTTCCTCAGTGAGAATCCTGATTCACATGCTGCTGCTTGTGAAGCCCGATGTTGTCTCCATATAAGAAAACGCAGCAGTGATGCATTTATTTTTAACACGCAGCTGACAGATGATGAAGTGAGGTGTATCAGCGGTGCAGCATCTCAGTTATCTCAGCATCCCAGAATGCATCCTGTTATATCTCAGCTTCAGCTTACATCTAATCCAGCGTTATTTTACATGTTCCAAAATCTAAATATATACAGTTTAAGTCACTTTGTACCATCTGAAAGCAGATCTTTATATGCAGCCGACTGAATAAAGATATAAGATCTGATTAAAAAAAAAAAAAAAAAAAAACAGTCACCAAAATAGAGCTGACAGAGCCTTTAAATATGAAATCAAAAACAGGCTGTAATGAAGTTAACTTTATGTTCCTAATTAAGTATTTAAACTGCTACTGAATATTAAAATTCAAGCATCAGTGAATTAATAACACAGAAACCATGTTTGAATTCTCCTCTTTAAAAACTTCCAGAAATTCTTTTGGATGTCATTTTTCTTGGATCACATGACTGACAGAAGGTGATTTGATTGGACGTTCAACCAAATTTGAGGCAACCTGATTTTGACTGATTTCTTTTTACATCTGAAAATGCCACACTGAATTTGAGGACTAGAAAGCGCTCCACTTCCTCTCTGGTTTGGGAGATTTTCCAACATGTCGTTCATTTATCAGCTATCACTTTCTGAATATAAGACTTAAATTTTCTATCCACATTTGTGTGAACCTTCTGTATAAATATTATTAAAATCAGGTGTTTTGCATGACATAAGATTCTTTTATGTAGGGATTCCAAACCACATAATCTAAGATACAGTCCATCCAAAAAGTACGTTAACAGTAGATTAAAATTTCACTGTACTTTTGGACACATATAAGTTTTGTGTATCTACAAAAAAACATCTATTTATATACCGTTTGCAAAATGAAATGTAATAAAATCTAAAATCAAGCTCCACTTTTGTCTTATCTTGGTGCCATGTTGGTGGTTTTCAAATTAAACATCTCAACAAGAATCTGATTTGCAATCATCAGTAGTGATGGAATGAATGTTAACCAAACCAATGCTGACTGTAATATTAAATCGGAGCTTGAGAAGGGCAATTTTTCTTAAACAAGTAACTATGTTTAGGATTTTTTATATAAAGATGTATTAAATTTGCTTTATAGGTAGTGTTTGATTTTTTCCAATCTGAACTAGAACGCCTCCTCTGCACCTTGCTGCTGAGCGAGGCCTTTTTTCAGTCGAGTTGCATCAACACGCTGTCGGAGGAGTTTTAGGTAAACGCCAGTCTGCCTCCGCGTCCATCCCTCCGTAGCCAAAGGGGAGATGATAAAAAATGTAAACGCCTCGGCTCTTGTCTCTGGCCTGAGATGGACGTGACGTGATTTGCCCTCGGAAATATCTATTTTTCAATTCCTCATCCTGATTTCGCGGGTTACCTGGAGACCATCTGAGGGTGATTTTAGGCAAGAAATGTCACAGTTAAATCACATTAAAAGCCTGATAGAATTACATTTTCCTTAACTCCTCCACACTGGTATTGACTATAATTACACAACATGTTAAACTGCCGGCTAAAGCACTTTTCATAAAAGTTTGTGTCATTAAATATGAGACTGAACATTTCTTCCTCATATAACCGCACTCATAAATAATTCAAGCGCTGAAGGATGCTTCGAAACGATATATCAGTGAAAATTTTAGGCCTCGTGCCAAGTCGACTGACAGATTCTATAGAAACAAAGTCAGTTTTGATGCTCACAGCAAGTCATGTATTCCTACATGCCGTACAGTCGGCTGGGGTTTTTCCTTAAAATGTTTGGAAAACAGTGTTTTAAGATGCTACAAAATTACAGAAATTTTAATATTCAGTGGACAATTTGTAACTAAATTCACCTGTTCCCTAAATTTAAAACATCTTCAGTGCGTGAATGAAATCACTGCATATCCAGAGTCGAGTAAAAAAAAGATTAGAGATGGAAAAAGAAAGAAAGAACGTGACAGAGAGAGAGGAGTTGGATTTCACTCAGCCAGCGTTTCCAACTGACTGGCCAGTAATCCGAGCTTCTTACTGTCCTCTGATCCATAATCAATACCCAGCCACAATCGCCTATCAAAGTTATTGATACCAGCCTTGCTTCATATCATCAGCAAAAATACTCTGTCATTAGCGGATCAGTCACCTGGAATCAATTAAATATTTCCACAGAATAACAGTAAATGTAACAGTCAAATGTAATTTTCTTCTTATTAGTTATAGTTTATCGCACGATGTGGTTCATTAAAATTCTTCCTACTATGATGGGAACTCTTGTGTAAATAAGCAGGAAAGGACTTTTTCTCCACAATATTTCAGGACAACCATCGCTCTAGATTCACTGCTACAAGCATCTTAAAATCTCAGCGTTAGAAATGTGCTGTTTGCTCTTTAAAAAGCATTTGTGGAGTCTTGGAACCAGATATAGACCTGCTGAATCGTTACAAAATGTACTGATTGTAGCTGTTTGGGTGGTCAGCTCAATCATATCAGACACTGATGCTCAACAGTTTTGAAAATCATATGTTCAGCTGCAAGTTTTATCTGCACATGGTTTGGTATAGGGTTAGAATTATAATGTAAATCAAAGACCAGACAGAGTACAAGCTCTGGTGGCCTGCATGAGCGCCCGACTCCTACACCTTTACTTTCAACCTTCTACCTAAAGGTCAAACTGCTTCCTGCATGTTGACACTGGACTTGAGTTTTAAGGCATTGAATTATAAACAAAGGATACCAGAAGAATCCAGTAGAGTCCCAGAACACCCCAAAAACCTCCAAAATCTCCCACTAACACTGACAACAAAGAATTCCTTCGGGATTCTGCTAAGATCTACCGAACCACCTTCAAACGCTTGCAGAAATCCAAGAAATAGTGTTTTGAAATGCATATTGGAACCGTACAGAGCAGCGTTTACCCTGTAAGGTACTGAATTTACAGCAATTGAAGTATTGGAAGTGTTCAGAAGCTTTGTTCACAAGATGAAAAACATCCCAGACAGTGTGACATCCTCACCACAACATTGATGACGAAAACATTGATTAAAACAGTGTGACAGAATAAGACAGCTCTCGTGAACACACCAGATGTGATGGTGACTGTAAGAAGAATCAGCTTTACCAAAGAGTCCGCTGCCTGTCCGGCCTTTCCTCATCAGGTACATGGCCCAGGACAGGGGGCCGGAGCTGGAGAAAGCCCCAGGGTTCATGCTTCAGTCCTGGGTGCAGAAGCAGCAACGTCTGGGGCCAAATTTCCGACACCCAGAAGGGAGAGAAAAAAGGCTATTGAGGGTAAAATTATAAAAAAGGAGGGGAAACAGCAAAAAGGGAAATGGGAGGAAAAGGGTGAAAGGATAAGGAAGGAACGAAGAAAGGGTTTGTTTTCACTTTTTGTTAGTCCAAAACTAGACACTCATTCGGCAAAAAAGAGCTCCAGTCTGTCCTCACCTTCACTTTTATACACCTCCTTCCTCACCCCCTTCCCCCTGCACATCTCATCCTACATATTAGGGGAAAAAAAAGAAGTGAGAGAGTAAAAAGTGAGGGCAAGAAGAGGAGGAGGAGGAGGAGGGAGAGGAGCCAGTCAAGCTTAATTCATTCCCTCTTTCTCTAAAGCGTAGCCACGGGGGACACGACTCCACTTTGCCCTAAGGCTCTTTAAAGCTGCTAATTTCATTTAGCTACTCAAATGATTTTTCTGCCTTTTTTTTCTCCCTCACTGCCTTCGCTCCTTCTCACCCCTGCTTGTCCTCGCTGTTTTGGAAGTTCTGGTTCAAAACTGAGGTCACA